AAAAGCTCTCCACTGCCATAGCAGAACCCCTGAGCATTATACATGAGATATTATTCAGAACCAGCTCCTTACTGAACCTATGGTCCTTAGCAATGGATAGTTCCCTATCTTCAAAAAAGGTGACCCCAGCCTGGTTGAAAACTACAGACCACTCTCACTGTGTTGCATCACATGCAAAGTCATGGAATCAATCATTAACCAATCCATTACCCCCCATTTAGAGTCAAACAACCTACTCTCCAAAAAAACAATTTGGTTTCAGGAAAAAAATTGTCCTGCAATCTACAACACCTACACTGCAAAAACATATGGACTACTCTACTCGACCAGGGTAAAGCAATAGATACAATTTACATAGAGTTCTGCAAAGCCTTTGATTCAGTGGTACATGACAAGCTATTGTTAAAACTAAACTCTTACGGCATTTCCAGATCCCTTCATAAGTGGATTACTGAATTCCTGTGAAACAGGCAACAAATAGTAAAAATAGGGAACGCTATCTCAAACCCTGCTTCAGTTAACAGTGGTGTCCCCTAAGGGGGGGGACCCACATTCTTTATGCTCTACATAAATGACCTTTGCGATCATCTTCACGGATGATGTAAAACTATTCAAAACCACCGACAATGCTACTGTCCTTCAAAGTGACCTTGATTATGTGTCTGAATGGTCAAACAATTAGCAACTCCAAATCTCGACCAACAAATGCTCTGTTCCACACATTGGTAAAAAAAATCAGTACACCAAATATAAGCTAGGTGGATATGACCTCGTTGATGACCCTCTGTCAAGGACCTCGGAGTACTCATATCAAATGACCTAAGTGCTAGAGCTCACTGTAACAGCATTGCTAAAAAGACATTAAGAGTTGTAAATCTAATCTTACAACTAAAAATCTAAATCTAATCCGGTAACATTGAATTGCTAACTAAGGCATATAAAACCAATACTCAAATACAGCTCAACTGTCTGGAATCTGCACTGTATATCTGACATTAATACAACTGAGCAAGTCCAGAAGTATTTCACGAGAACAGTACTACATTCCTCTGCTCACAATAGAATAACCTATATTACCAGGCTTGAAATTTTGGGCTTGGACGATCTTGAACTACTCTGCCTACAGTTGGACTTAAGTGTAGTACACAAAATTATCTGCTACAATGTCCTACAGTCAATGACTATTTCAGCTTCAACTGCAACAATACAAGAGCACCCAACAGATACAAACTCAATGTAAACTGCTTCAAACTTGATTGCAGAAAGTACAACTTCAGCAACAGAGTGGTCAATGCCTGGAATGCACTACCCGACTCTGTTGTTACATCCTCTAACCTTCACTCCTTTAACCTTAAACTATCCACTATTGACCTCACCCCATTCTTAAGAGGTTTGTAAGGGGCATGCATAAGTGCACAATCGTGCCTACCATCCCTGTCCTATTGTCCCCATTTATTTGTACCTATTTCCTGCATTCTTACTCATGTTTATATTTACACCTATTATCTTGTAAGTGATTGACAAATCAAATAATAAAATAAATAAATAAATGCTTGACTATTTTGCATAGGAAAGTCCTTGTTGTTGTTTAACTGCACAAATTTGGTTAATAATGGATATTTAATATTTCTATAACACTTGTGTATTTGATGTTTTTCCCTTTCATAGACACATGCATGAAATGTATTCACAACACATCTGTATTTTTCTTTACACTGTGCTCTTTTCTGAACTCATTTAATGTTTTAATGTTTCATAAAATACCATGGGTGTTACCTGTTAAATATTTAATCTCTTCAATCCAGAAGCATATGCAATAAATACATGAACTATTGAAAAAAATCTCTAATCCATTATTAAGAATAGATGTACAAATGATGTACATGTGGGTTAACATCAATTAATATGCAATTTCATAAAACTGGTGAAGGTGTTGGTCTAGAAACCAAGAGATTGTAAGTTCTCGTCCCATCTTAGCCATGAAAGCCAACTGTCTTTGGGCTAGTCTATCTCATAGGGTTGCTGTGGTGGAGAAAATAGAGGAATTAGGTATGTTTGCCACCTTCAGTTACTTCTAAAGCAGTGAAGGTGGGATAAAAATCTAATAAGTAATTATTTGCTCTGTATATCCTGTACTTCTTAATAAAAATAAATAGCTTTCAAGCAGTTTTTAATATAGAAGCTTCACTCAATCTTAGAGTTATGGACAAAGAAGTAGCATTCTGCTGCTAGTGTAGTATTTCTTACATCAAAATGAAATGCAATTCCTGGAAGAACCCAACTCTATAAGTTTTGGAAATACATTTTTTTCATGCTGATGCTGAGTGTGGTTTACTACTCTTTTTCAAAACAAAAGATAGTCCCCATCCTCTAACCATTCTGGAATAAAATTAAGAGTTACCTGTTTAATTTAGCACTTATATTGTTAGTTGTGTTTAAATGATATTTTTAAATATTTTCAATCCATTTTGTTGCTTTTACTGTGCTGTTTAAATTTGTAGTAGGCTATTTCATTGTAATATGGTAAAAGGTTACCGATCACAATTAATTTGAAGTTCCACCTCAAATCTTCTTTCCTTTCAGGAAACATACATTCTCTTAAAAATATGAATAAAATCCACACTTTTTTGATACTGCTTTTAAATTCTAAACAACTAACAACAAGACTACTAAATCTTTTTTTTAATCTACATTAGCCATCTTTAATTCAGAGATTTCTTCTTCTAAGATTAGAAACAGACTTTTCTTCTCAACAAACTAAAATCGCATCAGAACAATGACATTTGACATCATGACACAACATCCACTCTTAGATAGTTGCATCATGATGCTTGATGGAAATATGTAAGCCTTGGGTTTTGTGTACATTGTTGTGATGGATATTTTATTACTTGCTCCCACTGTTCATGCCAACACTGGGATATTTGCAGCCAGACAAATCAAAATGATGAAAAGTGTATTGTGGCATCATGGTGCCCGTAAATAATGTGGACCATATTTATGGTGTACAAGGCAGGCATTGGCAGGAATTAATGGATTCTCCTGGCTTTGTTTCCCCCTCTCTTACTAAATGTCACCACTCAGTTAGAAAACATCCATCCATCTTTCTCAATGGAGCTGGAATTGGGGAAAAAGGGGGTATTGCAAGTTGACTTGACTGACTGATTTTGCACAAGTGTTGTTTCTGAGGGAGTATGTTCAAAGGGATTGGTGGATTCTCCCTGTTCAGTATGGGTTTAGCTCTATTCCAGTGTTCAAAAGAAGCCCATGCATAAGGTGACAGGTGCAAAGAGTTATTCTGTGAAGCTGTGGAGAGATCTGCATACACACACACAAATTCTACTAGTCAGCTGCTTTTCAACCTGATTTAAGTATCTTAACCAGGGTGTAGTCTGAAGACTTGGTAGGTACAGGGGAAGAGTAATTCTAGAGGACAGTTCCCTGGGCCCAGAATTGAAAGGTTGTACCCGGTGAGCATACCTAAAACTCCTGCTTCTTATTTTTCCCACAAAAACAACCCAGTGAAATAGGCGGCTTGGCTGAAAGAGTAAAAGTTATCTGGTGACTCCCATGCTTTAGGGGTGAACTAGAACTCATGTTCTCTTGGTTTTTAGCCCAGCGGTTTCACCACTACACCAAATTGGTTCTCTAAAGTGGCCAGTAGATGAAGGATTAGGCCATTCCTTAGTAGCTACCTTACTGCATAGTTAAAAGAATGGTTGGTGAGATATATCCATAGCAAAACCTGTATTGGGTAAGAGAAAATGCCACTATTTTAACACGGGTACAGCTAGGGACAATTACTTCCACAGGTATCAGTGTGGGGAAATCAAATGCATTGTCCTGAGGACACAGCAAAAAAAAAAAAGTTTCCACAACATATCTATATTGTTGTTTGTGCAGGTGAAGAAAATAGATCCTCTGAATTCAATAAGAACTAGTTTTTAAAAACCCTTTGATTTTAGTATAGATGAATCACAGCCCCCAACCTCCCCCCCCCCCAATAGTAAATAGTACTCACAAATATAGTATCATTCTGATCTCATTAGGCTGAACATTAAGGAATGATTTTCTGTTGTACTTCAACCATCCTGCACAGGAATCCTCCTCCTGATACCAGCAAATTGTTTCTTTCTATGCCTCTGCCATTGTTTGATTTCCAGGGATTGCTTTACAGATTTGTAAAAGAGGAACAACCTACTGTAAGATCTCATCTCATATGAAGCAGGCACTCTTCAATTTCACATGTTACAAAGTATATATAAAATCAGAACACGTTTGCTGTTCTAGTAGTGATCAAGTAAACCAAAAAAAAAGTATTTAACTCCCCACATTACTTTGCTAAAGTGTTGAGATTCCATGTTTATTCTGCCGAGTTAATTATCAAAATGTACATGTCCCCAGTGCTCACTTAGCAACCTGCTTTCAGTGATGCCTCCCCTCGATCCACAATGGAAGGAAAAGCCACGGCAATGCACAAGTGTTTGTTCAACACAATTCTGAAAGCTTTGCAGAAACTGCTGAGTAAAACAAGACCTACCAAATTCGAGCACCATTAACAAGGGATAGAAGCTGTCCTCTGTTTGGGATCATGGGGTTTTTTGTTGTTGTTGTTATGGTTGTTGTAATACTGGGTTCAACAGCATTTTATTATTATCTTTCAAACAATATGTTGTGTTTCAGAAGAAAGCAAAACAATCCCACTGACTTGCTGGAAAAAAAAAAGCGAAGCAAATGTTTTGTGTTTCCTGTAGCTGTTTACCTATCATTTATCAGGTGACTATTTCCAAACAATTCTAGAAATTTACTCTCATGAGTTTTATTTATTTATTTAAGAGCTTTGCCCTCCCTCGTCCAGATTCATTGTTAACAGAGCCTTCAAAAGAGGGAAACTCTTAGAAATTCTGTGCTAACTCATCTTTATTACAGGCACATCTATAAATTCTGAGGACACTTTTGGAATCACAGAGGGATGCAACCAAAATGTGTAGCTGTAGAAGATGGAGAAAGACACCTTCAGCTATCAGGTAAGAAAAAAACGACCAGGAGAAATATTTTTATTATCTCCTCTCTTGAGCATTGGTACTACACAAAGATGGAGTATGTTTATATTATTCAATATAAATTGATTTGAGTTTCCTCCTAAAATAAAGTTTTAAGTAAGTCATGGTGGAGAAGGGTTTAACCAGCCACAAATCCCACTTCTTTTTGTCATGAACCTGAATCTGGCAAGTAGGCAAAATTAAAGCTATCAGTTATGGAGAATACTCAGCAAGCAGCTGAAGCACCTTTTTTCTTTGAAGCTGAAAGTCTCTTGTGCCAGTTGATTATTTGTACTAAATTGGGAAAGTTAACTGCTCCAAGAAGAAAAAAATTATAAGGTTGATAGAAAATATATTTAAATAACTATAACTGCTTCAGATCCAGAACACAAACTTTCTATATCCATGACAGTATTGGTTTTATAAAGTGTGTGTGTATTGGGTGAGAGAGAGAGACAGAGAGAGAGACAGGGAGAGAGACTGAGACAGAGATAGAGAAACAGAGTGACAGAGACACATAGAGAAAGACAGGGATCTAAGCACTTAAGATACATCCAGATAGTTGCTTTAAACTGATGGAGATAGAATGTTGGGTTATCTGGAACTTGCATGATGTTGAAAGACAATACTTATGTTCTTTAGTTGACTATTGTGAGCATATTCTCATCTTGTTTTATTCAGCTTGTCACATGATATTGCCATCAATTCATACAGTTTTGAATGGATTGTTCAAATTGGGATTTTGTTTACTATAAAACCAGTATACAGTATTTCAGAAAGTGAACCGTCCATTTGAGAAAGTATGACTTGGCAGAAATGCCATGCAATGTAACAAATTCCATCTAATATTTATGCTATGAAATCAAACATTCCAGTGAAACATTCTGGTGAATTGAAGGGTATGCCCTTCGACTTTTCTCGGCTACAACACAGAAGAGAAACATTTATGGAATTGTGATTGACTTGTGATTTATGGGTTTGAACATTAAAAGTGGTAATTTATGAAAACGAAGGAAATTATGATGTAACCTTAGAGAGAGAGGGTAAAATACAAATGCATTTATAACTGTCAAAAAGATCAGAAGCTGCTTATTTATAATCTTTTCTTTCTATTTTCTGTATGTCTTACTTATTCACCATTCTTCCTTATTTTCTTTGTTTCTTTTCTAACTTTGGTATTGTTTTTATCCTATTAAAATGTCTCAATAAAAGTTAATATATAAAAGAGAAGAGGCTTGTCATACTTGTTTTCCCTTTCCCTTTCAGTTTATAGTATTGCAGCATCCTGTTGTTTTCAATCCAAATCCTATGCAGCTTAGCTTTGTGAAGTCTACAAGCTATGAAAATTGTCTTGAGCAATTGTATGTTCCCAGCCTTGTAACAAATTTTTATGGTTCCACAGGTTGGCCTTTTGTGCAGAGAAGGGAGAGAAAGATAATTAAATCAACGCAGTGGTTTGTTTCTATCAGACACAGTGTATTTAATCCCAGCAGCTAGATGGTAGCACCGGTTTGTGCATGTATTTATGAGAAGCACAGATCTGATTGAGGATGTTGAATTGACATTTACATATCAGACAAAAGAGGCATTTTTCTTTTTCTTTGTAGTCACTGAAAAATCATAGGAAGTTTGGTTTTCCACAAAGGGTATTTGTGCTGATAAACTGAAAGGCCAGTTTGCCTATAATCTGCCAATTAAAAATAATCAGGAAAAAATATAAGGAAAAACAAAAGACACATTATTTAAATATTTAAATTATATTAAAGGGGAAGCCTTTGAGTAGATTGTGACTTCAATGTGACCTTTTAAAATTGATGGTATACACATTTTATTTACAGGATCTCATTTCATGGCTGAAGCATTATAGTCTAAATGCATATTTCATTTAATTGAAGCTTTCTGAACAAAAAGAGTTTCTGATTTTTGCAGACGTCTTCTGGAGTTGACCATGAGGAAACTGATGGCAACCGTATGTGTGGATTGAGTAGCAGACAAAGAAGCAAGATCAGTGGGACAAAGCTCTCAGCAGCAGAACGTGAAACAATGGAGGAGTCTCTTCACGCAAACTCTTTTAATCAAGAAGTACGGAAGCTGTATGTAGATAAACCCCCTCAATTGCAGGAAGCAGGTGAGACCCTCCCCAAAGATTTCCAGGTAAAAGAAGGCTTATCACATAGCCAAGAAGAATCGTGCAGAGATGACGCAGAAGATTGCAGGGGTGTAGGATCCTTTGGCAGAAAACAGCAAACATTTGAAACAGACATAGAGAGCAAAGATGAGCAACTGGGGTGGCTAGATACAAGGAGAAGTGAGGAGACTTCTGAAATAGCATCACATGAAAATAAAACTTGCTCAGTGCGGGATGGGAGTAAGTTCCACCCGACAGAGGAGATGGATGGGGATCATCCTATAGCAACCCAGGAAAAAGAAGACAGCAAAGATGTGTCTGTTTTGGAGCCTGGCATTTCCAACCAAACTTTGCAAGAATTTACAAGTGTATTGAAAGAGAGCCCCTTGTTAAGCAACTGGACCTGGGACAACAATGAACTCAGGGCAACCTCTTGCCATGCATTTCTGAAGTCTAGGGAGGAACAATGTCAATGCATGGAAATTCTTCCTCCTCATTTAGGAAGCATTGACCAGAAAGTTCCCATTGTGCACACGCATGGATTAGGGCAAGGAGGAAAGTCCCAACTGGGTTACAATTCTTCTGGGTTGGAGAAACAGCCATCAAAAAGGGATGATTTAGAACAGCCTGTTGGGAGCCAACAGGCCCCTTTTCCAAAGGTGGTCAGAGCTCCACCTACTAACTTTGAGCCCACATCTGGTAAGGACATTAAGTCCCATGTGAAATAGAGGGATTGTGCTATTATCAGCCAAGCATGCAATAAAAAATAAGATTGCTGTAATTGATACTATGGCATTATATGCTAACTTCATTCAAAACCAGTGTCATGTGTATAAGGAGATATAAAAGAAAATGATAAACCACAACAATAAGCAAATTATAAGGAAAATTGGTCAAAACAGTATCTGATCTGTTAAAATGGCAGCAAGTTGCAGCATCAAGGTAGAATGAGATGGTGTGGACTGTTAGGTGCCGTTGCAAGGATTTCATTCTCACCCATCCACTATATAGTACAGAACCTATTCCGGAAAATTATGTGTTCCACTTTGGTGATGACATTTGTCAGATTATTAAATTTACCAGTTACCCTATTTAACATTATGTATTTCTTGAAGAAGAGTAGTGTCTATGCCTGTGTGTTCTTTGTACCATTAACAATAAGAGAGTGTCTGGCTTTGATGCATAGAAATGAGAAGAAACCTGGATCAGATTTTCTTCTTTGTTTGGTGGGTATCAAGTTGTGTTGCTGTCAGTTCTCAAACCCAGAGAGCCATGATTTGTTAAAAAAAAACCTTGAGGATACCTGACCTGAACTATTTCCACTTCTCAGAGGAGCTTTGGGGCTATTCATGTGAAATTAAATGATGACACCTGGTGGACTGTGTCTTTGAGTTTCAAATCTCAAAAGGTCTTTCAAGATGCAATGAGTTCTTTACACATTACAATTTTAATTCATATGTTACTTGTCATGTGTCTTACATATAACTTTCATCTATATAGTCAACTTGGGTTCCCCTTCCTGCTCCCCTCCTCATCTTCATTTAAACCCTACATCAGTATAGTTTAATTGACTTGCAGCTGACAAAAGTTTACATTTAAAAAAAAATAAAATGTATTAGTCAGAACAGGTGCTATCAGACTTCTGATTTTTCAATAAGGGTAGATGTATATTTTATTTATTTATTAAATTTATATGCCACCCATTTGTCTAAGAAGTGTCTCTGGTTTCTAGCAAAAAAGGCTTATAAGAGACATAATATCAAACAAGAGTTGTATGGCTTTTAAGTCATTTGGCTATTCTTACTGAAATTCTCTTAAAAGCCTATTAAATTCAGTTTTGATAATGTAAGAGATTCCAATTCCACTCTAGATTGTGTGGGAAACAAAAGGTGGTAGCTTTAATTGGCTCCAGTTTGGAAACAATCCTATGGACTTTTCACATAAAAGAGACTAATGAATAATAGAACCAGTTGGTCAGCAAGCATAAAAAAGGTTAGTATTTTTCTTTTATCAGCAGCAGATCACTAATTAGACTTCCTCCTCAAATAATTTGGCTGTGGATTTACTATCTTGAAAAACTGGGATTAAAATTAATTAATTTTGCTCAATTAGGTACCATCAAATTTGTCTTTACTTTTATCAATCACATAGATAGGTTTTGTTCAAAATGATCTATGCCTAGCCTGTTTTCTCAGGTCTTCAAATGGTGCCCTCATTGCCACAATAACTAAATCTGTCCACCTTGCTGTTGTCCTCTTCTTCATTTTCTTTCCATCTTTTCCATCATTAAAGCCTTTCCCAGAAAGCTGGGTTTTTGTATAATATGTCCAAAGAAGGATAATTTACCTTTGTAATTTGTACCTCCAGTGAGAACACTGCTTTACGTAATTAGCTGTCATAGGCCTATCTTATATATATTTCCTTTTCCTTTCCTCTTTATCCATCTCCATTATTAAATCAGTGAGCTTTCACAATGTATAGCATAATATATTTACAGGTGGTCCTTGGTTTATAAATGTTCACTTAGCAATCATTCAAAGTTCCGATGGCCACCTCCCTTTATATGATCACCTGATCACATTTCCAACATTTGGCAAACAGCCCATATTTATTACCATTTGCTACATCCTGTTGTTACGTGACTGAGATTTATAACTCTTTTTTTTCTGCTGGAAACTAGTATTTACTTCCTGTTTCTGGCAAAAAAAGTCCATGGGGTACAATGCATTTGCTTAACGGCTGAGGAATTCATTTAATGACTGTGGCATTCACTTTATGACTATGGCCCCAAAAGTTTGTAAATTGGGTGCAGTCATGGGCTCAACTACAGTTGTAATCTAGGACAAGCTTGGCTTTATTTGAAAATCACATACAAGTGCAGTAATCTCTTATTTGGGGTAGACAAAATATTTGTATTGAGTTATTTCTCAAAGTCCAGTACTATTAAAGCGACTAGCTTCTTCTTCAAAAGAAGGGCTGCTTTAAAGGCTTTCTTGACATGCTGCATGCCTTGGTCATAAGTGTGAGAAGTGTGTTGAGTTAATTCCCGTTAGGAGAATGAGCGCATACAGGGAGACATAGTGAGATAATTTAAATTTAAATAATAGTTATATAAATTTTACAAACCAACAAACAAGTGTGTGTGCAAAGTCAACACTGTTGGAACTGGCAGCACAGGTGCACAAGTAATAGGGAAAGCTAAACCAAGTCTTCCAGAGGAGGATGCTACTTTAACACTCTAAGGAGGAGCACCTTACTTGGGCCAATGAGTTTGAGAAGGGTCTCTTTTGAACTTTGTACACAGTCCTATTATGTATAGTTTTCCCTAACTTCCTTCTCATGTAAATGTTCAAGATTCAGTCTTAAAACAGGTTCCCTTCATTCCAAGTGCGAATTCAAAGCAGGTTGAATCCTTCAGCTTCTTAACAGCATCCAACTCTCAAATATTGTGTCAAAAAAGTATGTTAATGGTAAATATTTAAATCCTGCCTTATGGTGATTGCATTTTAATTTTTCATTTAAAGAAAAAGAATCCAGAAAAGATTCCAGTGGGAAGAAACTGGGCAGTGACCATTTTCTTCACTTCGCTTCTGAGATAGAGCACATCGAGGAACAGATGGCAAGGGACAATGTCCACTTTATCAGGTTTGAAACCACAGATATCCACGGTGTGTCAAGATCCAAGAGCATCCCCTCTCGGTTTTTCCGGGTATGTCTGTATTCTTTTCCTGTTTCCTGGCCGCAATGGCCCTCCTTTTGCTATTTTGCAAATCTATTGCCTCCAGTATTGCCATAGCTTGCCCATAGGTTCATCAAAAACCTTCTAAATATGTTTTATTACTCTCTCTCCCTCTATTATTAAGAAAATGTAATTCATGCAACTTGGCAATGTGGTTTTTTTTTAGACATCCAAGCTTTTCTTCCTCAGATGCATGGTTTTCTTTAATTGATTACCTTAGCAAAAGGTTGGTTTGATCTGATCCTAGCAAATTTCAAGAGTCCAAGGCAAACAACTAGAGATACAGCAAGAGACAGCATGTGAATTATTCTAGTGACAAAAACTCCCCAAACTCTCTGAGTGCTTCAATCCAATCAGGTAATACCACAGAAATGCATGATTTAAACTGTAGCACAGCATTAGTTATTTTGTTAAGCAACAATTAAAGGTCACATTATATATTTTTGGTAATAGTTCTATGGAAAATAGAGCTTACCAGTAGCTTTTTTTACAAGTTATTTCTGCAATACCCAGTATGGATAGCTTATAGGAGGCACTTTTGCTTAATTCTTATTATGAATATTTCAGATTTCATTCAGTGATCATAAAAATAGGCAGTGGCATTTGCTTTCATGCTATATTTCCTTTGAACTTTAGAAAAAATTCATTTTACTTTATTTTGTTTTTAGCTCTTGCTTCATTAGGCTCTGTTCTTTCAACTTTAAGGTTAGATCTATTATATTTCATTGATGTCATTAAGGCATTAACAGATATCAGCTATTTTCCATGGAATTTAGTGCTGCTAAAAGATAATTAAGCTAATAGCTTATGTAGTCATTCTGTGTGTGTTTTGCCCAGCTGTTTTCTAAAATAACTTATACTTGTTTGAATTAATGCCATCTTAAGAAAATTAAACTTGACATGGAACTATAAATCATTACTTTAAAATACTATTATCGCTGCTACTGTGATAGCAAGAGTCATAAAATATGATAGGGTTACTTTTTATTCTTATTTACCCAGAGTCTCAGATCATGAAGAAGCAGGAATACAGCTTGTAATTCATTTTTTGAATTAAAAGCTCTATTAAGACATGCTCACACAATTGTGCATACCCAATTCACAATCTAGCTGGCAAGGCTGGATTTCAGGAGAATTGAATAGGACACCTCAGTACCTCATTCTGTATGATAGCTCCTAAACACTACAATTTCTTTCTAATACTATAATTTCCAGCAAAGCTTGGCCTGTCCCAGTGTAGCAGTCTTTTCTTACTCCTTTGTACTTTTCCATCAGAATGCCATTGCCTCATTCAATTCACATGGGAACCATCTCTTGTTCTACAAATTTTTTCTTGTTTCAGAACCATTTTTTCTATTTTCATGGTGAACTTCATTCTGTACTTTTCCACAAGTGTAGCAGTTGACATTTCTTAAAACAATCCTTCTATTTTTATGGCCTGTTTTATGGAACTCTCATGATTTCCATCATCTACGCATGTGCACTCATACATTTATTTATATATTTATTTTTATCCTGCTTCCTTTATTTTTATAAATAACTCAAGGCAGTGAATGTACCTAATAGTCCTTCCTCCTCCTATTTTTCCACAACAAAACCAATGTGAGGTGGGTTTATTTATTTATTTATTTATATGGTTTGTCAATTGCTTACAAGATAATAGGTATAAGTAAAAACATAGTTATCAATACATGGATATATAAAAGAAAAAGAAAAGAAAAGAAACAATAGGACAGGGACAGTAGGCACGTTGGTGCACTTATGCACGCCCCCTACAGTCCTCTTAGGAAAGGGGTGAGGTCAATAGTAGACAGTCTAAGGTTAACGTTTTTGGGGTTTGGAGAAGAAACCACAGAGTCAGGTAGAGTATTCCAGACATTGACCACTCTGTTGCTGAAGTCGTATTTCCTGCAATCAAGTTTGGTGCGGTTAACTTTGAATTTGTATCTATTGTTTGCTCTTGTGTTGTTATGGTTGAAGCTGAAGTATTCATTGACAGGTAGGACATTGCAATGTATGATTTTATATACCATACTTAGATCGGACCAAAGGCAGTGTAGTTCTAGGTTTTCTAGGTCTAGAATTTCAAATCTGGTGGCATAAGGTATTCTGCAACGAGTAGAAGAGTGGAGAACTCTTCTTGTGAAATATTTCTGGACTTTCTCAACTGAGTTAATATCAGAAACGTAATGTGGGTTCCAGACTGATGAGTTGTATTCGAGTATTGGTCTAGCAAATGTTTTGTATGCTCTAGTTATTAGTGTAATATTACCAGAGAAAAAGTTACATAAGATTAGGTTAACAACTCTTAACGCCTTTTTGGCTATGTAGTTACAGTGGGCTCTAGCAGTTAGATCATTAGAGATGAGTACTCCAAGATCCTTGACAGAGTTTGGATCATCAACAAGGTCTTGACTATTCAGCCTGTATTTTATTTTCTGGGTTTGTTTTGCCAATATGTAGGACAGAGCATTTATTTGTTGAGATTTGAAGTTGTCATTTTTTTGACCATTCTGATACATAGTCAAGGTCTTTTTGAATGGTAGCAGTATTGTCTGTGATGTTGAATAGCTTTACATCATCAGCGAAGAGAACACGGTTGCTCTTAATATGATCACAGAGGTCATTTATGTAGAGTATGAAAAGAGTTGGTCCTAGAACACTGCCTTGGGGGACACCACTGTTGACAGGTACAGAATTTGATAGGACGCTCCCAATTTTGACCATTTGTTGTCTGTTTGACAGGAATGCTTCTATCCAGTGATGCAGGTGTCCAGAGATACCGTAAAATTTTAGTTTTAGGAGTAGTTTGTCATGTACTACTGAATCAAAGGTTTTACAGAAGTCTATGTAGATTGCATCTATTGCTTTGCCCTGATCAAGTTGTGTAGTCCATATGTTTTTGCAGTGTAAGAGTTGCAGATTACGTGATAGTTTTTTCCTGAAACCAAATTGTTTATTAGAGAGTAGGTTGTTTGTTTCTAAGTGGAGGATGATGGAGTGGTTAATAATTGATTCCATGACTTTACAGGTGACGCAGCATAAAGAGATTGGTCTGTAATTTTCAACTAGGCTGGGGTCTCCCTTTTTGAAGATGAGGATGACCATGGCTTGTGACCATAGTTTTGGCAAGGAGCTGGTCCTGAAAGATTTTTCAAAGATTATGCTTAGAGGTTTGGCTATGGCAGTGGATAGTTTTTTCAAGAAGTAAGCACATATTCCGTCTGGTCCAATAGATAGAGATGGTTTTAGATTGTGTAGTGCTTTTTCAACATTGTCTTGTCAGGTTGGGCTGAGAGAGAGGATTGGACCAAAGTCATCCAGCTATCTTTCATGCCTAAAGAGGGACTAGAACTTACAATCTCCTGGTTTCTAACCTGATGCCTTAACTAGTTTGGGTGAACTGGTAGTTGATTCTGCACAGTTTGGTGAACCAGCAAATCCCACCACTGGCTGGCCCCACCCCTGCTTATTTTTGGCTTGTTTTCTGGGCTGTTTTGGCGCATTTTTGGACCTGAAAACAGCCCCCAAACACCCCAAAATGGCCTGAAAATGTCCCTAAAATGACCTGAAAATGGCCCCAAAACAGCCTGAAAACGACCCCCAAAAAGCCAAAACACAAGCCGAAAAATGGGCGGGGAGGAGTAGGGCCAGCCAGTGGTGGGATTAGCTCCAACCAGCTGAATCCTACCTCTGCCTTTGAGGAGAGTGGCTGGGAGGCAGGGCAGGGTGTGATGAGTGATGTCACCCACCCAGTCACATGACCAACTGGCCACGCCTACCAATCTAGAGAACCTGTTGTTAAGTTATTCAAATCCCACCACTGCTTAACCACTATACCAAACTGCATAGCACTGGCAATATGGCAGCCCCACCCTGATATTAATGATAAAACTGGCTATAGCTGATGGTGTTACTGTATATCGGTGTATGGTTAACTACTGAATAACACTATGACTATTGTTATTATTGATGCTATTTTTAGAAGATGAAATAAAATACTACAGCCTGAGCTTTACTTTGTGCACTACTAAAATGGTGGATAGTCTCACTGTGCTCAAGTACTGAGTTTACCATGCTGCTGTTTGTTGGACTGACAAGATTTTGCCATGTTCAATAGGCCAGTCTGTCTACTCCCATTCAGTGAAGAATGAGAGAAACACTCTAGAAAGCATTATTAGCACAGGAGAGAGACAGAAAACATATAGATGTTTCCTTGCATTGGTAGAAAATAGGCAATGAAGCATCTTCTTTGATAACCACACAAATTTGGAGTGGTGAGGTTTCCAGGTCAGTGTAAGATTTTCCCGCAAATGTGTGGCCTGCTTCACTGCCTCTGAATCAACTTCTGTCCTTGTGTTATGCCAAGTGACCTGAGGTCACTTTCCAAAGGTGGCTGTCTGTTATACTCTGGGAAACAGATAGTCCTTTACCAAACTGTTAGGAACACAAACAGTATGCAAGCTTCCTTTTTCAAAGGTCAAGGGCATATACCTTTTCACAATTTGTCCCTTCCACCTGGCCTGTTCTGTGATTCAGCTAACACGTTTTGCAATCAACATGCCATTGCTACTAAATTCAAGATTAATTTATGCTGGGCATGCTGAAAAATAAGTATCACTTGCTCAGTATCACAACAGGTAGTGGATTGGGATTATTTGCATTTTTGGGGCTCTGTGTGTGTGCATTTTGCCAAGCACTGATAAATGATGCTGTACGGAATTGCCTCATTCCAAAGGCATTTAATGTCTATATTGCCAATATTTTTACACAGTTCCTTTTACCTGGCTTAACTAGTTTTGCAATTTGAATAATAAAACTCAGAATGTCAGGTACTCTGCTGATACATGAGCTATATTAAAAGGTTTAAAGATCTCACAATAAAACACATCTGCAATGGTTCAACCTATTTTAAGTTCAATGAAGTATTCACTGTCTCCCAAATATTATTCAAAGGCCAGGAACAACGATGGATAAAATCTTTGTTTTTAAATTCAGATTTAGCAGTAAAATATTCTTTGTAATCTGGGGGTGGGGGGGTGGGAGGGTGTGTGTGTGTTACATTTATTTTATATAGAGTGGCCTTTAGAAGTCTGTAGTACTCTTAGGCATTTAGATGTCTTACCAATTCACTCCATATTGCCATTTTTTGGTGTGTGGTATATTGGGTAAAATTTTATCAGCCTTGTATGGCGATACAGATAAGAAGCACATTCAGAGGAATTAACTCTACTTTATGGTAAGGTTACATTAAGAGAATCTTGCAAGTCTATAAATACATGCCCACATGTTTGCCATGCCTACATTCTTGCTGTGGGCTAAGGTGCCTCTTATCTGGCCATTACCCTGGCTGTACCTCTTCTCCCAGTCTCCCAAATTCATCCCTACATACCATTCCAAATTTGATGGAAATGGTTCTATCATAGTCAGCCTAGATGACTTCTTAAGAATTTCCATAAAATTCTTAAAAAGATCTCAAAGAGAAAATGGTGCTGGAAAGTAATTTTATGCTCTTGATTAATGATCTTTTGAGGGATCACATTAAAAATTGCAAATGCATTGTTTCAATTGTGATATACACAGCTAATCTCCCCTCTCTCTTCACTGCCATTCCCCACTTTAAGATTGTTTCTACCTCCCTAATATTAGCAAAATACAATAAACTCACATTTTAAACTCACATCTAACCTTGCAACACTGTCAACATCATTATCACCATCATCATTATTATTATTTCCATTTTTAATCTTCCTTTCTACCCAGAAGGCGACAATGAAATTGAACTTGCTTCAGGTACTTTGTAGCTGAACACATTTTTTTAATAAAATCATACATTAAAATGAATATCTGCATTTGTGGAGAAGCTTGGTATCCTTTGTCAAAAATGTGGTGAGCAGCATTAGTCACATAATGCAACACTGTAGTCATTCTAGCTGGTACATTATGTCTGGCTGGACCTTTATGTCATCATCCTATTATTTGCTGCTTTCTGGAAGGCCATTTGGGAATTATCTTAATTGTGGGGTTTGGACCCGGAGACCTGAGGTCCCTTTCTTAACTGCATTATGGCTTGTTTATTGAGCCTTTTGTCTCCCCACCCCACATATACATTCAGACAGACACATATAAGCATACACGTAATTGCAAATACATATATACACATCCCATGTCAACTCCTAATGTCTTCCTAATGGTCATAATTTGGTTGAAAGAAGTTTCTGATTGAAAATCTACAGTGTATGGCGTTTCCCTTGGACAATTGTTTATGGTTCCTTTTGAAACTTCAAAGGTTTTCCTTAGAAATGTAATCTGTCAATGTGATGGTGCTACTTGGGGATTATTTAATCCATCCAAAGCATAGCCATATGTTCTTCTTCCTTCTGTTTAGACCAAAGCAATCTATGGGGTTGCCATGCCAAAAGGCTACCTTGAGTTGACCTTGATTCCAAGGGACCATGAGACATGCCACGTTTCTGCAAGCAGTTTTAACTGTGACATCATCCTGAGGCCCGATTTATCAACATTCCGGATCTTGCCATGGATGGAACAAACAGCAAGAGTGATCTGTGATCCCTTTATGGTGATGGGCAACCCTCTCTTGACATCACCCCGGCAAATTGCAAAGCAGCAGTTGAATCAGCTCCGGGAAAATGGCTTTGCACTGTATTCTGCTTTCACTTACGAATTCTGCGTCTATGGCATCGCCGAAATTGTCAATTCAAAGACCATCTCTTTTCCCGCTGCCACTCTACTCAGCAATCATGACCAGTCCTTCATCCAGGAACTCATGGATGGCATGTATCACGCTGGGGCAAACATTGAAAGCTTCTCGTCCTCGGCTGGTCCTGGCCAGATGGAGATCTCTTTTCACCCAGAGTTTGGCCTAGGTGCAGCAGACAGTGCCTTCACTTTCCGGACAGGCATTAAAGAAGTAGCCAAAAAGTACAACTATATTGCCAGTTTTTTCACCGAGAATGGATTCTATAATTCTGGCATTCTGACCCATAGCCTTTGGGACAGCAGCAGACAGCACAATTTGTTTGTTGCTGGAACCCCAGACCTAACTGAGATAGGGAAGAATTGGCTGGCTGGGTTACTGACACATTCTGCAGCTCTTAGCTGCCTGATGGCCCCCACCGTCACCTGCCGCAAATGGTATAGCGGGTGTAGCAAAGGCTCCAAAGAGGCTGTGGTTGCCAAGGGAGCGTGGAATGACAACAGCTGTGCATTTAACATCCAAAATCATGGTGACAAGGGGACCTGGATAGAAAATCAACTGGGCTCGGCCACAGCCAACCCTTATTTGGTACTCTCGGCTACGATCGCAGCAGGTTTGGACGGGGTAAAGAGAAAGCTCACGTTCCACGAGGCCTCAGGGAAGATCCAGAGCTCCACTCTGACGAAAGCAGGCATGATTCCTCTGAAGCTGGAAGATGCTCTTGTGGCTCTCCAAGAAGATGAGTGCATCAGGGATGCACTGGGGGATTATTTTGTCCAGTACTTTGTCAACTTAAAGCAATATGAGGTGGAAACTGAGGAACTGGATGTGGAAAGGAATAAATTTTTGGAATATTTTATCTAGTGTGAAGAAAAGATTGGAGAGTTAATAGAAGCTAAGCAATGCAGCTGTAGATCAGAAAGTCTCTGGATCACATTTCTTTTATAAGTGACCTTTTTAAGTGACTTTAAGGAACTCCTCTTTTTCTTATAAGCTGCAGTACAACTAATAAAGGTGCAGGTAGCAATGAACTGATTTACTGTAAATGGTTATTACAAAAAACTTGAGAAAATGTAATGCACATTAAGTTTTAACAGAATATTAGTTTCCTATAGCCCTTTATTTGAATATAGGTTATTTTGCATGAGACTGTTTTTCTTGGAGAGTCCAGATAAATCTACATGTCCTCTTGTTATATAGATTTCAACTGCATTCAGCTTCATGTCTTGTTTTCCTCTGATTAATTACAAATTGGGAGGGGGAATATTACCTCACAGCATGCCATGAAAAGAGACTAATATGTTTTCTCTCTCAAATAATCAAAGCAAACATTTCTCCCTGGCTAGGAAAAAAAATCTCCATATCTCTATCTATCTATCTATCTATCTATCTATCTATCTATCTATCTATCTATCTATCTATCTATC